TAGGTTACCATTAACGTCTTTAATTTCACTTAAAATATCCAAGTATGAAACAGATGTGTCAGAGTCTGTGGTATCTTTTATCTCAAGCTCTCCTGGATATATCGTATCGACGTAGGAATGGAAATTACCATTGTTAATTGACAATACGTCGTCGATAAATCTGAAAGTCGAGTTGAAGGCCAAAGCAAGCGTTTTCTTCTTTTCACACATAAGATTTTGCATAAATTCTGCTTCATATGAATACAAAATAGGAGCGCAATTGGTATCAATGGGAATTCCAATAGATTGTTGGAAGACCTGCAGGCATGCTTATGTAAATTTCCTAAGATGTGTCTTAAAGCGTGTCTTAGGATATTTCTTAGGACATGTCTTAGGAATATCTTAAGATACGTCTTAGGGTGTAAAACGAAAGCATCTTAGGAATATACCACGTTAAGATGTCGTAAATTTCATTTTAGCCATTGTCTTTTGTTGTAAACAATCACTACAGGAAGTTTTTATTTAAAGTTTCCATAATAATATACATATGTATGTAATGGAGAGGGGGGGGGGGGGTAGAGTAAGTTCCTCCTTAGTTCTTAAAAGAATTTAGATTTGTACAGGCATATACATACATTCACAGATTCACAGGGTACAATGTTTGTGTTAATTTTTTATGATATTCTTACATATTCTCATCACTGTACAAAAATTAAATTTTTGAAAGGTGGCTGAGAGAAAGAAACACCTTCATTTTGAAATCGGAACATTTTCTTTTAAATGTACATTAAAATAAAATCTATATTATGTCAGCTTCAAATTTAGATAGAGGACAACTATTTCACAACATAAATTTCTGTATTTTTTTCATACTCAGTTAATCAACGGAAATCTCTTTATCGCTCTGTCTCTCTTTCGGGGGTTGGGGGTGGGGGTATTGGCTGAATCCAGGCCTGCAAACGTATTAATGAATCTTAAGAAATTTCCCAATACATATTTCATACTTTCATGACGCAATGTATATTGAAATTGATTTCATTGATAAACAAAATTAATACAGAGTATAAAAAACACGAAACATGGAATTATACAAGAGAAGCCACTGCTTATTCACTCATGTCCGAGCTATGTTGGAACCGGTCCGTTTTGAATAGATCTTTTGGGAGTCCCTATTGTTATTAGATACAATGTATTCCACTATACATGAGAAGAACAGCATTCGGAAATAATTCGCACGTGTCAGACATGAGCCGTAAAAGAAACCCAAACTTTTCGGAAAACGAACTGCAAGTTCTTCTTGATGAGGTGGAAAAGAATATAACTGATTGTTTTCAAAACTCTCTAACTTGGTTTCAAATAACAAAAAACGCGCTTGTATGTGAAAAAGTGAATGTTTGCAACTCAAGCGATCACGTCAGAACAGTAGAAGAAATAAGAAAAAAATTCTCGTCTTACACAAGTGACACGAAAAAGAAAATCGCACAAAACCGCAGAGAGTCTACTAGGACCGGAGGAGGGAAAGCACCTTCTACATGCACGGACCTAACACCACTTCAGGAGAAATTATCAGGGATTTTGGGGGATGCCTCCATTGAGGGCATTGAAGGTGGTATTGATACAGCAGAATGCAGCACCGCTAAAGGGAGTGAAACTGAATGTGAACATTCTTTATGTAAGTGTATCATATGAAATTTTTTTTTTTTTTTTTTACAATTTTATATTTTGATGTAGAGGATGTGATTTTTAATTAAAATTTTACAACTTTTTTATGATAACGTTTGATAAATTACAATATTTAAAAGCTTGTCAAGGAATTTTTGGTGGTTGATAGTGCCCCCACCTGAAAATGTATAGTTGTATCCCCCCCCCCCACACACACACCCAAATAATTAAAGTGATATATGGCATATTTCTGATAAGTTCAGACTTACTAAAATTAAAAACATCTTCCTATTTGTTTTGTTACTTTATAAAAAGATAGAACTTTCCTGTAAATATCACAATTTAAATTAATTGTGTTTCATAGATATCACAGATTTAATAATAACCGATTTATTTCCGAATTGCAAATAAATATCAGGCACATTTAAAAGTCGATTTAATTAATAGAAACGTGGGGATATTTAAGTTCATTTTTTCCCTCTTTTACTTTAAGCATTACAACACGATGTACCCCCTCCAGCAGAAAGTCACCCTATGAAGAAAGCCCGTCGCTCCTTACATGAAGCATTTGATGAGAGAGTATTTGATATCGAGTCCGAAAAACTTGAAATTCAAAAGCAGAGACTGGAAGTGGAAAGAGAGAGACTCGAGATAGAAAGGAAACGGCTAGCAATGAACAGAGATTTATAATAGAACAGCAGCGGCATCAAGTTTGTCTTGCACAAAGAGGAGTTTCGTTCGACCAATCAACATGCAAGTGAATACGCCTTTAAAATGTAAAATGTAGGCTACCTGAAGATATTGTAATAAATAAAGAAAAATCCATTGACTGTTGATGCTACACTGCTATTATTTTTTCACACAGAAGCATGTAAAATTGTATAAAACAGAGGATCATAAAACTACATTAACCATATGTAGTTATTAAAATTTACATGTATGTGGGATATTTGCAAACATTGCATCAATCTTGTCTATGATGAATTTAATGAAAAATGGTTGAATGTAAGCATCACAAAAAATCAACTTGAAAAACGTTCGTTTATTAATCTCTCCCTAACTCTGGCTCCGTCATTTAGCTGACGTTCCACATATTGTACACGTATTTGGCCACTGTCTACCGCATTACAGCCCTCGGGTAAGGGAACATTGGAATTGATACACATGTTGTGGAGTACTGTTGTAGCTATTGCAATTTTGCAGGTTTCTTTTGGGGTATAGAGAAGTGTTCCACCACTTGTGTCAACACATCGAAACCGAGATTTTAGCACTCCAAAGGCACGTTCGATGGTATTACGGGTTCTTGTGTGAGAATCATCATACCTGCTTTCGGAAGGGGTGCTCGGATTGAATACGAGTGTTAGTAGCCACGGCCTCAAAGGGTATGCACTATCACCCAGTAACTATCCATCAGGAATTGTACTATTTACAAAAATTTCCTTTGAAGCACAATTATTCCAAATAAAGGAATCGTGGGTACTACCAGGCCACTTTGCAACAATATTTAAAAACTTCAGTCTGGCATCACACACACCTTGTATATTTATTGAATGGAAATTTTTCCGGTTCACATACAGGTGTTCATCAACAATTGGCGACTTTATTCTTATGTGAGTACCATCTATTGCACCCATCGTGTTGGGGAATTGTGCAATATCATGAAAATCTCTTTTTATTTTATTAAGTTCATCTTGATTTGTAGGCATATAAATGTATTGTTTAGCCACATTATTCAGACACTCAGTTACATCGTGTAAGATATATGATACACTCTGTCGAGATATATTATGGACATCTCCAATAACAGATTGAAAACTTCCTGTGGCATAATACCTCAGTGCTACCATGATCTGAAGTGATACAAGGAATGCGGATGACCTCATTGTGGGCCGTTCAAGGTTGTGTTGGAACATTTGACAATCAAAGACTGACGATCAAAGGCCTTGAAAGTCTGTACTTAAGGACTATACGTTCATCTGACTCGTAGTCAAAAGGGTTGTCCCTGTCCCTAAATATCCTATCCCGTCTTCGAAGCCGTCTCTGTCTGTCCACCCACAGAACATACGCCATATTTGATTACAACTTAGGACATCTTACTCTCTTAAGACATGTCTTATGACAGCTCGTAGTAGTCCTAAAGTTAGGACTAATACTAAGAACTCTCCAAAGATAGGATAGCTTCGTTGGCATCTCTTAGGACTAAGATATATCCTAAATTCGTCCTAAGATATGTCTTAGTCCTAAGAAAGCTTCATAAGCATGCCTGCTGGTCTCCAAAAAACCACATAGACATTGTCAATCAGAAACTCAAGCATCTTGTTGATGTCAACTTCAGAGACTTGTGTGTGCAATCAGAATCTGTTTTAACAAAATAATTTTGCAAATGACCAATGACCAGGTAAGTAAATTTACGAGTTCCATTTTTATTGAAAAAGCAGCTGTCAATGATATCAAAAAGCCTGGATTTTAATTTATCGTGGGGAATGGTTGTGTATAAAGTTGAAATGTCGTGTAAGTTTTTAAGCTGTTGATTTTGGTAAAATATTGTGATTTCAAATTGTCCAAAAGTTCTTTGGAATATTTTAGTATCCACATCTGATTTACACCACTTCTTGAATGTAAAGTTGCACAGTACTCTTGAAGTTTTTCCTTCACTACTGTCAATGTCTTAGTGAGGAGTAACGAAAAAGGCTTGGTTGAACATTTAATGGAACCCGCAATGTATCTTTGTAAGGATTGTTATGAAGTTTCGTAATCGGAATATTAAAAATACTCAAAACTGACATGATTTTGAAGAATTTCTTCCTTAGAATGGGAAGTATGAGTATAAGTAGGATTACCACTTGAAGAATTAAATCCAAGTTCTAGCATACAATTTATATAATGAGCCTTACAAACAAAGACAATGTTGTTACCTGCTTTGTCTCCAGGGACCAGTACGTACTGATCATGTAATCTATCTAATTTTTTTTTCACTTCTGGTTTATTGAACACAGAGGGATAGATGGTTTACATATTGCCCCTCAATCTTTTAATAGGTGACTTTAAGATGGATCTGATACATTTAATCCATTCTGACAAGGTGTCAACGTCTTCTTTTTCATATCTAGTCCATCGTCTGGCGTAATTTTCAACAGAATCCATAATATTTATGAAATTCTGACGCCAGTTGAAGGATCGGGGTTTCCTACATTTAGGACCTTTTAAAAAAAAGTGATCTAAGGTCATCATTATTAAGTATTATTTAGAGAACGAGACGGGTTCTGTATCGTAGATACAAATTTGGGGGTGGAGACGAGTGCGCGAGCACGAGTCTCCACCCCCAAATTTGTATCTACGATACAGAACCTGTCGAGTTCTCTAAATGATTTGTGACACGATCAATCAAAAATAGCTCCGCCCACTTTATAACTTTGCAGCATCCAAACTTCCGCCAGAGTTCTGTAGATGAGGCCCCGACGGGGAGTGCGCATCCGCAGTATATATATTTCCACAGAAAACGTAAAATTCGGTCAGATTAGTTTTGACAATTTTACGGGGTAGACGTAATCGAGTGATAGTCAGTCTTAATGGATAAGGTGGAGGATTTAACCGTCATTGTTGTGATCTATTAAATTGAAGATGGAGATTTATCATAAATTTATTTCACTGAGGGGTTTTAAAATCCCGGTTTATCTAGATTAACAAAAACAGGATTTACAGAAAATTCTTCGATGGAATTTGATGTCACGGATTTTTATTTTCAAATTGAATTGCGACATTAAGAGACGTGTGGCTGTCGTCAGCGAGAAGGATTTTAAAAAATAAAAACGCGGAAAAAATGGACTTGAATGATTTTGCACGAGGAGAGTGGATGTTTTCCGTTATTGCGAATTTTCCGTTTCGTTTGGAGTGAAATTACGTACAGAGGATGTTTTCCGATATTGCGAATTTTCCTTTTACTTTGGATCGAAATTACATGTAGATTCTGTGTGGAATAAGTTTTTAAAAAGTGATTGAGAAATTTTGACATTTTACATTCTCAGGAAAATACCGGGCATTTCTCCAAAATTTATAATAGGAAAACATCAGCATTTACTATTTGTACGTGCTTTTGCTAAATTGAATCAGATTTATTTTTAGACCGTGCTGTATTTTAGATACAGAATAGTTGGCAAATACAATACTGTATACAGGGCTAATACAGAACGGAAAGTAGCTCCGCCCACCATAGTGCCGTTCTGTATTGCTAATATAGAACGGTAAACTTCAAAGAAAAACA